GGCAGCAGGGAGCAGGCAGGCCCTCTCTCAGAGCTTCTGCAGGAGGCTGGCTCGGACCCAGGCCTCGTGGGTGAACAGCGGTTGGTGTCCCGCTGGTGACACGGCAGCTGCCGGGAGATGGCCAGGGTTTCCAGCCTCTTGGTTTTGGCTGACCGACGGCTGTGAGCAAGTTTGCCTGAGACTCAGCAGCTGAAACCCACCGCAGATGAGCTTCTCCTCGCAGCTGGGCCCCAGGCCACCTCATTTGCTGACATCTGAGGGGCCTTCTTGTCCTAGGTGCACAATGTCACCCTGGCCCTGGAGCTGCTGAGGGACGCGGGCCTGCTCAGCCACCCCATCAGCCCTGAAGGTGAGCACGCTGTGTCCCCTCCCCAGGGTCCAACCTTAGGGAGCAGCCCCAGAGGGGACACAGGACGGGGACAAGCACATGCTGGGTGAGGGACTCCTGCAGGGTTTCCCAGGAGGGCTCTGTGGCCACCGCTTCTGTCCATCCTGGTGGAGGGGGTCCCAGGTGGGCAGGGGCCTCCGTCCCTGGGGACAGGCTGTCCTGGAGAAGCCAGATCTCGAGGGTGCTGTGTTGGAGGGACACGTGGGGAGCAGGGAGGCCTGGGCAGGAGGAGGACCCRTGTCACAGGATGGGACCTGGCACTCAGGCCTCCTGGTTTCTGCAGCCTCAGTGCTGACGACTGGGCCCCTAGGAGCCCGGGTCGGGGTCACCCTGCCCCCTGGGCTGACCAGCTGCCTGCCCCTCTGGCCTGCAGACATTGTGAACAAGGACCCCAAGAGCACTCTGCGGGTGCTCTACAGCCTGTTCAGCAAGCACAAGCTCAAGGCCACCCCCTGTGGCACCCTGCACTAGCCGTCACATGGCCCCAGCGCGGTTCTTGACAACCCGCCATCTGGACTCTGCTGGAGGGTCCGACCGAGGGACCCCCTTAGCCCAGCAAGTTCCTGCCTGAGCCACCCCACTGCTGTCTGCGCCACTTGAACGGCCTGAGCCACCAGGTGGGGTCCCTTGAGGCCAACCCCGGCCTGGCTCAGGGACTCTAACTACAGTGTCCTGGGGCTTCAGAGCCTGGGGGTCCTGGGCGGCAGGAGCCCAGCAGTGCCCATTTCTCCCAGGCTCTCGGCTCTCAGGGGTCAGGACTGACAGCCGAGGTCCTAGGCTCTGCACATTCTGCTGCCCGTCTGCCCCACTCAGGGTGACAGCCCAGGACACCCCCCCGAGGCAGGAGTTGTGACTCCAAAGACAAGGAGCCTGTTGCTCCGGAAGCTGCCTTGGAGCATGCCCAAGAATCTAGGCCCCGACACCCCAACAGCCACGGTGTGGCTTTGCCCCAAAGTCATGCCGCAGACATTTCCATGGTTGATAGAGGGTTGGGGTCATCTCCAGTCTGTCCCCAGGGAGCATCCTCCTCAAAGGGTGAAAAACTCAGAGGAGAGCTGGGCACAGCTGTCCCCTCCAGGACCGGCTGGAGAGGCCTGGAGCTGCCCTCGGGCGGGAGCAGCTGGCTCCTCCCCACGCTGCTCTGCCGGGCCCAGCCCCCGTGGAGAGAGAAGCTTCCAGAACACAGATGAACGGCCTTGCTCTGGGAGGGCTGTGGAGCGGGGGCTGGCTGGGCCAGGCCCCCCACCCATCAGCTGGGGGCTCAGGAGGACGTCCTGCAGGAGGTGACGTGGGAGCTGGGATGGGGAGGGGGCCCGGGGGCTCACAGCCCCGTCCGATGACCCCGCTTCACTTTTCCACATCCTGCTGCCTCCGGAACATGTCCCCCTCCCACTCCAGGAGTGTCCCCCTCTGTGGAGCCAGGCTGGGTCCCCTCCAGTGAGACGCTCCCCTCCTGGAACCCCTGATGCCTCTCACCCTGTCCACACCAGGCTTCATGGGTGAATGCCCCAAATCCACGCCCCGTCCTGGGGTCCAGGCCTCATGTCCAGCAGGCTGGCTCCACGTGGCCGCTCCAGGTCTTCACCTTGCCCTGCTGGACAGCAAATTTTTAAGATAATGATTAAAAATCGATTTTTTCAGCCAGGCATGATGATGTACGCCTGTAATCCCAGCTCCTTGGGAGGAGGCTGAGGCAGAAGGATCCCAAGTTGAAGGCCAGCCGTGGCCATGCAGTGAGACCCGGCCTCAGAACACGGTGCAAAGGGAGGAGTGCTGGCCTGGCCCGTGCCGAGCCCTGGGTTCCATCCCCAGCACCACACACACACACACACACACACACATGAAAATCGAGTCTTTGTTGCTTCGCTAAGGGACCCACAGTTGGTAAAATCTCCCAATGGAGGCACCCAGTCTGATGAGTCTCCACGAGAGCGTACAGTCTCGAAACCCCAGGAAGATGGAGGCAGGGAATGGTCCCACCACCCACAGGAGCCCTCGAGCCAGCCCCTTCCCCGAGTCCTGGCCCTGGGAACTGCCAATCTGCCTTCTGTCCCCATCGATTTACCTTTTCTAGAATTTAAATATAAATGCACCAGAGAGGGTGTAGGCTTTTGTGGATGGTTTCTTTTCCTTTGCACAAATCTGCTAGTTTTATATGCAAAGTTTCTTTGATCAATAAACGCATCGCCTCCTCTTGCTGAGCACAACACTGCCGTGTGGATACGTTATCTATTTCATAATATATTATTTTTGCTGTAAAAAGTCAATGTCTTTAAAAGAGATTTTTAAAGACTGAGAAGGAAGCCTGGCATTTACCCACATCGTTACCCTGACTGTGGCCTTTTGTTTTTCTCTGCATCTGATAAAATCGTCCTCCTGCTGAGGATTTCTGCCTTAGTTCATTTTCTGTCACTGTTAAAGAAGACCCGGGACTGGGTGATTGGTAAAGAGGAGAGACCTATTTCTTAYGGTCTGGAGTCTGGGAAGCCCAAGGTGAAGGGGATTCCGTCTGGCAAGGGGGCTTTTTGTTGCTTCATGACATGGTGAAAGGCAGAAGGGAAAAGTACCCGGGTACGAGAAAGACAGGGGACTCGCAGCCTCAAGCCCCTTTACCCTCTGGGAGGGTGATCCAGAGGGTAAATCCCTTATGTTAATCCCTTATGAGGGTGGGGCACTTGTGACCTGGACCCCACCCCACAGTGTCTCATAGGAATTTAGGGGCCCCACCTCCCTTTGCCACTTCCTGTGGTGCGGCTGCCGTTCCTGAGCTCTGGTTCCTGCAGAAGGAGATTCAGTTGTGAAAGACAATTTCTCTGGGTACCCAATTCTAGGTGGGCACTTTTTTCTTTTGACACCTTGACAATGTGGACGCTGCTCCTGTGTCGTCCGACTTGCAGAGTTTTCAGGAGGAAGGTGGCCGTCACGCTCCTCTTTGTCTTTTCTCTCTGGCTGCTTTTGTGGTTTTCTTTCTGTGGCTGGTTTTCAGCAGTGTGGTCGTGTGCCTGGGGCGAGGTTGTTTGTGTTCCTGATGTTCTGGGTTTGCCCTGGAGTCAGTGAGTCTATGGTTTTTCCTAAAATTTGAGAAGAGACTGGCCACTACTTCTCCTGTCTCTATCTTCTCCTCCTTGGGCCCCAAGTACAGATTTGTTAGCTTGATACTGTCCCACAAATCATGAATGCTGCCTCCTTCTGCTCCTCCTCCTCCTYGTCCTCCTCCTCCTCCTCCTCTTTGTGGTGCTGGGGATCAACCCTGGAGCCTCACACTTGCTAGGCACGCTCCCCACCACACCCCAGGCCTGTCTTCTTTTTACTTCCCGTCTTTTCTCTCTCTGGGTTTCATTTTGGGTGGTCTCTATTGATGTGTTTCCTTTTTTTTATTTTTTATTTTTTTGGTTTTTGGTTTTCTTCTCTTTCTTTCTTTTTCTTTTCTTTTTTTCTTTTTTTTTTTTGGCACGTACTCTGATTTAATTCCATCCATTATATTTTTCATTTCAGAAATTGTGTTTTGTCCTCTTGAGAAATAAGATTGGGGTCCTTAAAACACCTTCCACTCCTCATCCGTCTCATGAGTCCGTCTACCTCTGAGCACATGTGAGGTCTATTTATAATCACGGTTAAAATCCTCATCTACTAATTCTGTCATCTGTGCTGTTTCTGGATTTCTTTCTCTTGATTGATTCTTCTCCTGGCCACRATTCATCTTTCCCTAATGCTTTGCGGGTCTGGTGATTTTTAGCTGGATGCTGGACATTGGGAAAGTTTACACGTCGAGCCCTGGATTTCTTTTTAAACATTTCTCTCCGTGTGTTCTGGGTGCAGTTAGGTCGTCTGGAATCAGTCGGATCCTCTTGAGGCTGGCCTTTACGCTGCGTCAGGGTGAATGCAGAACAGACCTGAGTCTAGGACTTCTTTGGTCCCAGAGGCAATACTTACCTGCACCTCTTCTGAGTCCCATGTGCTAGAAGGTCTCTTCCCTCTGGTGGTGGAATCACACGTAAGCACTGCCTGAGCTCGGGGATCATTTTACTCCTTTCCTGTGAGTACCACATGCTGGGAAAGTTTTCCAWGTGCAGACCAGCACCTGGCCAAAGACTCAGGGGAACTTCTGCCGGTCCGTGGGCTTCTCTCTCCAGAGCCTGGTCTCTAAATCTCTGCCCCTTGGACAAAGTTCCTTGGCTCCCACACTCTGGTTCACCTCGACTCTGGGCTGCTCGGCTCCRTGCAGCAGCTGGGCTTCTCCCAGGCAGAGACGGGGAGAAGGGGACAGGGCAGCTCATTCCTTCACCTCTTGGGGGTGGCTCTCCTGCTCTGCCTATTGTCCAGCACCTGAGACCCCCGCTTAGGGACATTCTGACTCTGAGTGGGGAGGTGGGTCCAGCCCTGCTGTTCCATCTTGGCTGGAAGACAGCCCTGGTGTCGCCAGGGCCAGGCTCACCCAGCTGCCCCCCGCCAGGCCCCATGGACGGGACCCCTTGCTTCTCCTCACTTTCTCCCCTGACTTCCTCTAGGCTCCTTTCCTCTGCCTTCCTGGAGCATGTATGTGGCCCTTCCCAGGCCACCTGCCTTTCCTCACGTCCTCTGCGCCTACAATCCTGTCTCTCATCCTGCTGCTCACTCCCCGTCCCCAGCCCCATCTC